TGTGTGTGTGTGTCTGTGTGTGTGTGTGTGTATGTGTGTGTGTGAAGCTCTCAGAAATGGTTCAAGGAGACGTGTGTGTGACACGAGACCCGAGGACACGCAGTTCCACTAAACATCCCTGTGATCTTGTCGTGTTCTCTTCGGTCTATTTGTGATTTTCCCTTTTTAGAAAGAGGGAATTATTGGCCTGGATTGCTCTAGTAGTTCTCACATGCATGCGTTTGAGCTTTAGCTCCGCTTCTTGTCTGGTTGTCACTCGTCTCTCTGTTGTTCTTCAGGTCACGCGCATTTAACAGACTTTAACATCGCTACCATAATCAAGGACGGCGAACGAGCCACGGCGTTAGCGGGTACAAAGCCTTACATGGGTAAGAAACGCCACATCATCTACATCACAGATCCAGAACTCGTTATGATAAACTCTGCACACATTTTCCACTGTTTACTTGTTATATTTTTTGGGACAGCCGTTCACTGACTGACACTACTGTGCAGTTTTTTTTACAGACTAAAATTTTATTGTTTCATCAACTATTTCAGTTGTCAGAGGTTCTCAACTAGAGGGCCTCAATATGACTTAAAATGATTTAAAATAAGACAAAAACAGCATTAAACAGGGTTTCCGCCGGTCCTTAAGAAGTCTTAAAGTCTTAAATTTAGTTGTATCAAATTTAAGGCCAAAAAAAGTCTTAAATGCCTTAAATGATATGAGAAAAATCTGAATTCTAATTTCAAGAGGTCTTACATTTGGAGAATGATTGAACAGAGAATGAATTTGCATTTTCAATTAGCCCGTCTGCTGTTTTTGTTTAGACCAATGCAGAAATAATCGACCCATATTTTTACACAGCAAACACACAGTTGTAAATGTGAACCGGTGGATCGATAACAAGCTAATATTCCTTCTAAAAATCTAAACAATTCAGACAGTAAGATAGTAAGATATTTATATGTTTTCATTTAATATAATAATTGATATTTTGACTCATTCTTTTACTTAAAAAACAGTTTAAAGGCTGAAATGTGACATCATTTTATAAAACATTTTTTTTTGTGAAAACCTGTTTTTGAACTCTAAATCATGTTTTTACAGTCATTTTAAGCTTTAATATGTTACCACAGACATTGCAAGTCTTAAAAAAGGTCTTCTGCAGATCTGCAGATACCTTGTTAAAGAAAGCTAAAAGTCTAGACATTTCTTATTTTGATTCACCCCTTCAACAACTGTTTTATTTTTCTTTGCAGAACCAGACTCATTCTTTTACTTAAAAAACAGTTTAAAGGCTGAAATGTGATCATTTTATAAAACATTTTTTTTGTGAAAACCTGTTTTTGAACTCTAAATCATGTTTTTACAGTCATTTTAAGCTTTAATATGTTACCACAGACATTGCAAGTCTTAAAAAAGGTCTTCTGCAGATCTGCAGATACCCTGTTAAAGAAAGCTAAAAGTCTAGACATTTCTTATTTTGATTCACCCCTTCAACAACTGTTTTATTTTTCTTTGCAGAACCAGGATTTGTTTTTTAACTGTTAGCATTGGCGTATTGTCAACAAGTCTAATTGTAATGTTTGCTAATATTTTTATTCAAAACCAATATTACTCGATTAAAAAAATAATCATGGCTAAACATTACATTTGCATTAATCAATAAAAAAAAACACCCAGCCCTAGTTGCTAATGTGTTCTGCTTGTTTTTTTTAACATTCTGTTTTGCAGTTGCTAGGGTGTTCTAGGTGGTTGCTAGGTTGTTGTTAGTGGTTGTTAGGGTGTTCTAGGTGGTTGCTAGGTTGTGGTTAGTGGTTGCTAGGGTGTTCTAGGTGGTTGCTAGGTTGTTGTTGTTAGTGGTTGCTAGGGTGTTCTTGGTGGTTGCTTGGTTGTTGTTAGTGGTTGCTAGGGTGTTCTAGGTGGTGCCGTGACATTTATATGTGGTTGCCAATGTGATCTTGGCAAACCTGGATGTAAGAGGAAGCCTCATTTTATAAGTGTGACTTCTAGACCTGGAAAAGTCATAGACATTAATCAAATCCTAAAATCTTATGATGAATATACATTTTACTAGTTATATAAAAATTCTAAAATATTTTAACACTTAGAAATTGTGAGTACAAAATATATTTTCATAACAAGTTTCCTAATCCATAATTAAGAACAACTGGGAAAGTCATGCTAGTTTATAGGTTAAAAAGAGCAGGAACCCTGAAGAACATTCAGCTCCTAAAACATCTGGAAACCAGAAATGCACAGAAATTAAGAGTGTTCTGGATAGTTGAAGGCCTTGGAGTCAATAAGTCTGAGAACCACTGATCTAACTATGACTTGTCTTGTGTGGTAGTTCTTGGTCAGAATATCTGAACCAGACTTTATCTTGTTGGCCAGAGTCTGACTGCATAGATCACATCCCATAATAATCATGGTCTGAATGCATGTGTTTCTCCCAACAGCTCCAGAGATCTTCCAGTCGTTCATGAGCGGGGGAACCGGTTATGCGTTTGAAGTGGACTGGTGGTCGCTGGGCGTGACGATCTTTGAGGTTCTGCGAAGTTGGGTATGATTTTTGGCAGATGACAGCGTAATGAATGTCTAGAACTGCGATTCCCAAAAGCACGATCGTAGAGAGCAACGGTGGCAATAGTTTCTACAATCTACTGATGCTTACGATGGTTTTGGGAAACGCAGATTGACGAGCCACCAGTAAACCTTGTGTTTTGTACTGAAGTCTCCAGCAGGGGATGCTGATGTGCTGGGGCTTAACTAGCTTAACTTCCTTGGTCAACCATCTTCACCAGCTAAGCTTTGCTGGTTTGCAACCCTAACCCTATAAACCAGCTTCGACTGCTGTGCAGATTCACGCAGATCTAAACGAGTCTCAGCAGGAGCCCAGCTAACAGGGAACGTTCTCATAACTTTCACTTACGTTTTTTAAAGTTATTTAAGTGTTCGGACAAAGCGCTCTTAAAGAAATGTTAATGGAACGTTCTTATAACTTTATGAATATTTGAAATGCATTCGCATAACGTTGAGGGAAATCGTTCTGAGATCAAGAATCTCGGACCTTGAATGTTCTAAGAAACGTTTTTGTAACCTTTAACTCTTTCCCCGCTGGCATTTTTAAAATAAGTTGCCAGTCACCGCCAGCAGTTTTGATAATTTTCACAAAACTTTCATGGCCCCCAGAATGTTTTGTTGTATGAAAATCTGAACATGCAATATGTGAAAGGAAAGTTTTTATTAACACTTGAATGTTGGTAAGTTGTTTTGAACAAAAAGCTGAGAAAATGTCATTTTTGTCAAAGACTATGTCCGAATCGGATTCAGAATGATGATCAAAACACAGATGGAGTAGATCGCTTCCATCCAAAGCTTCACAGTCCTAAACCACTTCTTGGGTCGGCATTTCATTCGCTAACGTTAGGGTGTTGATGTTATGAGGATTGCGTTATTTTACATATGCATCTGCTTACATACCGCTTGTTTCTGCTGCTTCTTCATCTGTGTGATTCAGAACACTTTCAGATGTGTAATAGCACCCCCTACTGTATAACAGTGAAAACACAGAGACAGACAATTCTGTCAATGGCAGGGAAAGAGTTAAATAGTGTTCTAATGACAAGAAAACTGTAATGTCCTTAGAATATTAAATAAGGTTATATTTTGGGTGAAGATAAAGTTAGTAAAACGCTGTAAGAAACATTTTGGTAACCTTTAAATTAGGGCTGGGTGATAATTCGATAACGATAATTATCGCGATATAATTTTCCTCACTAGAGCAGATGCGTTTACTCGGTCACGCGAGCACTAAACAGCGCTGTGAGATCCAGTGTGAAGCGCGAATAGAGCGATGAACACATTACTCTGTGATTTAAACTAGTTTAAAGCCAAACAGGAGAAACACTGTGCAACGAGACAGTCAGAAGGCTTTTCAATCTACACATCGCCATAATTTACCATGGATTTACTGTAGTAACACTCACTGCACCATGGTATTGTGGAAGAAATTTGGGATATTCACACTGAATTTGATTACAAGAGTAATGGTATATAATTATAGTACGTATTTGTGATTAAGCTATAGCACGTGTGCATTTATACTGAATGTTTTTAGACTACTGTTTTTCATACAAATATAGGCTACCTAAAAACCATTGTTATATTTTTACCATGGTATTGAGGTGCTATGTGTGGTTTTTACTGTGTTTATCATGATTTAAATGTATGCTACTATGGGAGACCAATGCTTAATTTAAAAAAAAATAAAAAACTTGGTCAGGATAAATTTAGCTGTATAAAACTGAGTTTGCTACAATTTTTACAGATGTTACTGATTTTGATAATGAACAAAAATGTACCTCTGCATCCTAACTCAAGCTACTATCAAATGTGCATTTCTAAGAGACAAAAAAAAGTGATATTATTAATATTATCAGGCAACCCAAACCTGTTTCTTGATTTGAAAAAATATCACTCATTAGAACATGCAGAAACTAAGAAAAAAATTTTTTATTTAGATATTTCTTTTAAGGAAAATGTATTAGTTTCTACAACTTTGGAGAAAAAATCTGGCTTTAAACTTGAAAGAAATAAAGATTTGACATTTATCGTGATAATTATCGATATCGACTGATATGAAAAAAATTATCGTGATAATTTTTTTGGCCATATCGCTTAGCCCTACTTTAAATAATGTTATAATTATGAACAGAAAACTTTTAGTGTTTTAGAAACATTTCAAAACAATGTTCCCACAATGTTTTTATAACGTAAATTTGTTACCTGGGAAGACCTGAGCATATTTCTGTCTCTCTCTGTCTCTCAGAGGCCGTACGACATCCACGCCAGTAACTCGGTGGAGTCTCTGCTGCAGCTGTTCATGACGGTCAGTGTGCAGTACAGCTCATCCTGGCACAAAGACCTCGTCTCGCTGCTGAGGAAGGTGAGATGAAGAGACCATCACGAACATACACAACTAATGCTACAGATGAAGAACGAAGAGCCTAGCAGCACCCTAGCAACCACCCATAACACCTAGCATGGTGTCACAATACTTATGACAATGTAAATCTAGTTGGATGTTGCCAAGATGTTCTGGGTGGTTGCCAAGGGGTTGCTAAGGTGTTCTGGGTGGTTGCTAGGGTATTGTGGGCGGTTGCTATGGTGTCATGTGTCATTGCTTGGGGTGATTGCTATGAATTTTTTACAGGACATTGATTATGTGGTTGTTAATGTGTTCTGATTGTTTTTAGCAAATTGCTTTGCAGTTGCTAGCGTGTTCTAGGTGGTTGCTAAGGTGTTTGGGTTGATTATTAGGGTGTTTTGGGTGGTTGCTAGGATGTTCTGGGTGGTTGCCTGAATATCTCTGTGGTTGGTAATATGTTCTGATTGTTTGTGGAATATTTCTCAGCAGTTGCTTGGGTATTCTAACTCGTTGCTAGGGTGTTTTGGGGGGTTGCTAGGGTATTGTGGGTGGTTGCTATGGTGTCGTGTGTCATTGCTTGGGGTGATTGCTATGGATTTTTGACAGGACATTGATTATGTGGTTGTTAATGTGTTCTGATTGTTTTTAGCAAATTGCTTTGCAGTTGCTAGTGTGTTCTAGGTGGTTGCTAAGGTGTTTGGGTTGATTATTAGGGTGTTTTGGGTGGTTGCCTGAACATCTCTATGTGGTTGGTAACATGTTCTGATTGTTTGTGAAATATTTCTCAGCAGTTGCTTGGGTATTCTAACTCGTTGCTAGGGTGCTTTGGGTGGTTGCTAGGGTGTTCTGATGGTTGCCATGGCAAATATATGTGGTTGCTAATCTGTTCTGATTGTTTTTAACACATTTCTCTGCATTTACTAGGGTGTTATGGCTGGTTGCTAGGGTGTTCTTGGAGGTCGGCAGGACATTTCTGTGTGGTTGCTAAGGCGTTTTGGGTGGTTGCCAGGATATTTTTGTATGGTTCTGATTTTGCACATTAGTCTGCATTTGTTAGGGGGTTCTATGTGGTTGCTAGGGTGTTTTGGGTAGTTGCAAGGGTGTTCTGGGTGGTTGCTAATGTGTTCTGATTGTTTTACCACATTGTTCTGCGGTAGCTAGGGTGTTCTGGGTGGTTGTTAGGGTATTCTAGGTGGTTGCTAGGTTGTTTTAGGTGGTTGCTAGTGTGTTCTATGTGGTTGCTAGGGTGTTCTGGGTGGTTGCTAATGTGTTCTGATTGTTTTACCACATTGCTCTGCAGTAGCTAGGGTGTTCTGGGTGGTTGCTAGGGTTTTCTAAGTGGTTGCTAGGCTGTTTTGGGTAGTTGCTAGGGTGTTCTGGGTGGTTGCTAATGTGTTCTGATTGTTTTACCACATTGTTCTGCGGTAGCTAGGGCGTTCTGGGTGGTTGCTAGGGTATTCTAGGTGGTTGCTAGGGTTTTATAAGTGGTTGCTAGGTTGTTTTTGGTGGTTGCTAGGGTGTTTTGGGTGGTTGCTAGGGTGTTCTGGGTGGTTGCTAGGTTATTGTGGGTGGTTGCTATGGTGTCGTGTGTCATTGCTAGGTGAGTTCTTACTGGCCCGAGTCGGAAGAGCCTTCACCTCGACAAACTGCATTAATAGGGATGAAATGGACAAAAGATGAAAATAGATAGAATGCAGATGGAGTCAGAATGAATAAAGAGAGAATAAAACACTGTAATGATGCAGGAGAGAATAAAGGGACAGATTGTGATGAGCGAGAGAAAGAGGAGGAGATGATAATGAGCTGGAGAGATAATAAAATAAGATGAATGAAGAAAACACTGGAGCGAAAGAAGAAATATTATGAGAGGAGGATGGATATTAGTGAAGAACAGAGGAGCGACGTGAGACATTAAAGTCATTGATTAGAGCTGAGAGTTATGGAGAGATTATACTGTGTGCATGAATCACAGGAGAAGAGCATTGTGGGTCGGATGAATAGATGGACCCACAGGAAGTGTGCTGCTCAGTACTTCCTCTTTCGGCTCTCTATTATATTTCATTTAAGACCTCAGATGTTTCTTAATAGACATATAGACACAAATGAGTCATTAATCTGATTTCATCGTTTAAGATCTCTTACCTTTGTTTGCAGATTTTACTATATCTGCCAGTTTAAGCAAAGTTTGAGACATTGCTGAGATCTCTTCTAAAACTCTCACACATGAGAATGAAATCAAATTTAAAAAAATTATTGATTTATTTTTTTTATTTTTATTTGAGCTGGTTACCAAGGCATCATTTCTCATTTTTGTTTAGTTTAACTTGATATACTAAAATAATTAAAACTAAAACTGAAATAAAAATGAATAAAAACTATATAGACGTATTAAAAAAAAAGTAATAAAAATGGCAAAAACAGAGAACGAAACTGCGGTTTACACTTTATCAGCGGATGACATGTCAAGTCCCGTGACCTGCATTTTTATAGTGCTTTATACAATACAGATTGTTTCAGAGCATCTTCACAGTAATTAGCAGAAAAATAGCAGAATCAATTATGCAAGCTTCAAAAATGAGAATTTTGCTCTGAAGCAGCTGTAGCAAGACATTCATTCAGAGTCAGTTCAGTGTTCATTTCAGTTCATGCAGTCATGCAAATCAAAAGCACGTTTTGGAAAAGGACTTTCAAAAATCTTCAAGTAGAAAAAATATTAAATGTGTGGTGAATTGCCTATGCTCCTCTATTTTAAGTAGCTGTGGATCAAAGCATCTGCCAAATGCATAAATGTAAATGTGAAGGTTTCCTGCTTCTCAGAAGTTTCTCCTGAGAAAAAGAGCTTTAGAAGAGATCTCAACAAAGTCTCAAACTGTGCTTAAATTGACCCAATATACCAAAGTCTGCAAGCAAAAGAGCGAGATCTATTCCCTCATTTGTGTCTGTGTATGTCTGCAAAGAATCAAACATAACATAAAAGAGGATGCTCCCCTGCTAACAAAAATATGTTATAAGAATGTTTTGCTAACGTTCCATTTAAGTTACGAAAACATTATTTCTGATTGTTCTCAACGTCCAGTTTTTTTTAGATGTTTTAAAAACGTTTTTTGTTTATGCGAACATTAATGGAACATTCCATTTGATCGTTTTGCAAACACTGGGAGAATGTTACTTTTGAATGTTCTCTAAACATTCTGAAACTTGTAACATTTAAAAAATGTTAGAGGAACGTCCAACTAAAATGTTTCAGAAACAACAATGTTCCATGAATGCTTTGAGAACATTATTAAAAACCAGAAAACTCGGAATGAACATTCTATTAACGTTACTGGAAGAACGTTTGTTCGTAATTTTGAGAGAACCTTGCCAAGTTCTGAGAACATACTCTAATTAGTTAATTTTGCTCCATATATCCTGGTTTATGCAGGAATATGTCACATTACAGTATGTAATTACAGTATACAGTCGAGTGTGGTGTGAATACAGATACACACTGATGTTTGTGTGTGAGTGAGAAGTGTGGTTGGTTGGTTTGTTGGACTGTCCTGATGGTGTTCGTCCTGGGTGTGCTTGTGTTTTGTGTTTCTGTAGTTATTGACTGTAAACCCAGAGCATCGCTTCTGTAGTCTGGCTCAAATGCAGACGACGCCCTACCTCTCCGATGTCAACTGGGACGATGTTCATGAGAAGAAGATGGAGCCCGGCTTTGTTCCCAATGTGAGATTGAGTTCAACTGGTGATCGCTGTCACACACACACACACACACACATATACTGTATATATATATATATATATATACATACACACACACACACAAGAATATGAGAGAGAGAAATATTATATTTCAATGCGTTTGCGTACGTTTGGAAAATTTCTTACTGGGCAAATGCAAAGTGAACTGCAGACGTTTTGTAAGCAAATGCAAAAGCATTGAAATATAATTTCTCACACACACACACACACACATATACTGTATATATATATATATACATACACACACACACACACACAAGAATATGAGAGAGAGAAATATTATATTTCAATGCGTTTGCGTACGTTTGGAAAATTTCTTACTGGGCAAATGCAAAGTGAACTGCAGACGTTTTGTAAGCAAATGCAAAAGCATTTAAATATAATTTCAATAGTTTGCTTCTTCATGGGAACAGATTTAGAGAAACTGATGCCGTCAGAATGAGAGTCCAAACAGCTGATTAAAACATCACAATAATCCACAAGTAATCCACAGCACTAACCTGACATCTTTAAATAAATAATTCCAAAAGGACAAAATATATTTTTAAGGCAGTGATGCAAAAAACAGTAAAACAATATTTCTGGGCAATAAATGTTCCACATTCAAGTTCATTTTTGGACCTTGTTCACACATTCAGACACACATGCTGAATTTACAGAAGAAACGGTCAGATTGTGCTTTTGTTCAGTATCTGCTTTCAATCGTTTCTCTATAACGCTCACTCCGTTTCTGTTCTGGTGTGTTAACCAGAAGGGTCGTCTGCATTGCGATCCCACCTTTGAGCTGGAGGAGATGATTCTGGAGTCTCGTCCTCTTCATAAGAAGAAGAAACGACTGGCAAAAAATAGATCAAGAGACAACAGCAAAGATTCTCAGTCTGTGGGTGAAACTGACACACACATTAAACACTAGAGTTTTGTTTTACGACCCAGTGAGCGTTTTAGTTTTCATCAGCTGAACTCCTCGGAGTTCATGTATTTCTTTGAAGCCACCCTGAGATTTGAAGTTAATATTTAAATAATTTAACAACACATGCACATGTGTCAGTTAATTGTCACATGACATGCAGGTGAACACATAAAATATTTTATCTTTTTAGTAAGCGTTTTATTTTATTTAAAAAATATGAATTTTAATTTCACATTTATGATTTAATTATTTGTTTTTTATTCTTAGCCATATTTTGGGGATTAAATTGTACCCAGAACTAAATTTCTTTCCTCCTTTTGGGGGCATCCTCATTTGCAAAACAGTATTAAAATAAAATAAATATTAGCATTTTTAAAATTATAAAAATGCAGAAAGTTTTCTGTTAGTGTTAGGTTATAGTATTTATAACTAACTGTATATAATAGGGTTTCTGCAGGTCTCAAAAAATCTTAAAGGTCTTAATTTGTCCGTCCACAAATTAAAGCCTTAAAAGCTCTTAAATCAGAGCAGAAAGTCTTAAATTCATAAATTCATGGCATTAAATGTTGCACACACTGCAAAAATGGAATATCTCAGTATTTCTCGTCTTATTTTCCAGTGCAAATATCTAAACGTCCTTAAATTAAGTGAGTTTATGATTAAAGCAAGAATAAATATCTGTCATTGAGGAATGAAAACTTGTTTTCCTTTTGAATTAAGAGCCCATATTTCTTCCTGTTTTAATCATAAACTCACTTCATTTTGATCAGTTCCACAGAAAACAAGACTTCTGTCATTTTGCTTCTCCAGTAATGTGTCCTGATTTAAGAATCTTTAGACATTTGCGCAGGAAAACAAGACAGAACTACAGATTCATTGCAGTGCGATCAGAAGGTATTCTAGTATTTGAGAGCAGAGCTATTCAAGCCTTGAGCAATTTTTTTTCTTTTTGCAAAATTAATTTTAAATGAATGGTTGGAAGTTGTATTTTTAATCTTTGAAGTGTTTCTAATTCAACTCATTCTGCTCCCTAGACTTTTAACATTTAGAGCACATATTGATGTATTGTGTTAATGGTCTTTTTTAAATTTACAATAAAACCATCTACGTTGCATGCACAAAATACGATATTGTTGTAAAATTACTATAGAATATATATGATTCAATTTACAGCACCTACATAAATTTAATAAAATCCAAAGCTAAAAAACACACCCCATGCACACTCTTTATTCAGCATTTTATAGATTTAAAAAAATCTACTAAATGCATCACCATCTTGTTCTGACCAAAGTAATTAGAACGCACCATGTATTTATTTTAGAGCACAGTCAATGTAATCCTCATATATACGTGATTACAGTTTAAAGAAAAAAATGCAAAAATTACCAAAGATACAGTGTCTTTTTAATATACTTTCCTTAAATGGATAGTTCACCCAAAAATGAAAATTAGCCTGTGATTTACTCGCCCTTAAGCCATCCTAGGTGTGTATGACTTTCTTCTTTCAGACAAATCCAATCGGAGTTATATTAAAAACTATCCTGGCTCTTCCAAGCTTTATAATGGCAGTGAATGGGTGTTATTTTTCAATAGTCCAAAAGAAGTCCAATAAAGCGCATCCATCCATCATAAAAAGTGCCTCACACAGCTCCGGGGGGTGAATAGAGGCCTCCTGAAGCGAATCGATGTGTTTGTGTAAGAAACATATCCATATTTAAAACTTTATAAACCATAATCTCTAGCTTCCGCTAACTGTCGTACGCGTGTTCATTCCGGCGGATGACGTAAGCGTAGCGTAAGCTCCGGTGAGAATATGCTCGTCTCGCGAGAACCGACGTTTGTTTACAGGAGCAAAGGAAGCAAAGTTTCCTCACTTTAGCAAAGTCTCCTCTTGGCTTATATCGAAATCTTCCCACATTTTTCTTTATAAATCCTCATTTTGTGCTTCTAATTCGTGACCAGTATTTTGTTTTGCTCTCTCCGCTGCGCTTCTGCATTCGTCACTTATCACCAGAGCTTACGCTACGCTTACGTCATCTGCCGGAATGAACGTGCGTACGACAGCTAGCGGAAGCTAGAGATTACGGTTTATAAAGTTTTAAATATGGATATGTTTCTTACACAAATGCATTGATTCGCTTCAGGAGGCCTTTATTCACCCCCCGGAGCCGTGTGAGGCACTTTTTATTACAGATAGATGCGCTTTATTGGACTGCTTTTGGACTATTGACGAAAAACACCCATTCACTGCCATTATAAATCTTGGAAGAGCCAGGATATTTTTAAATATAACTCAGATTGGATTTGTCTAAAAGAAGTCATACACACCTAGGATGGCTTGAGGGTGAGGAAATCATGGGCTAATTTTCATTTTTAGGTGAACTATCCCTTTAATCCAGTCAGTTTAGTCATAATAAAAGTGTCCAAATGCACTAAATCCAGCAGAATTGTATGGAAGATTTTTTGTTTTTGTTTTTAAAGAACAAAATCAGAACTGTGAAGATGTAAACTGAGAATTTCTGAGAAAAAAAATGTCCAAATTGCAATATGCAAACTTAGAATTTACGATAAAAAAAAAAAGTCAGAATTGCGAGATGTAACCTCAGAAATCATGAACTCGGAAAACACACAATCGCTGTATTTTTAAACACTCATTGACGTTTGCATAAAGCTGGTGCATGCAAGTTCATATTAACGAGTTGGGAAGACCTAATTACGACTTCAGATGCTTTCAAATCACTTTTTTTGGAACAAGATGGCAAAATACCTGAACAGGATTTTTTAACTCCATAACATTGTAGAAAGACTGTGCTTTTGCATTGTTTTATTGTGCAGTACTGTGTGTATTTTGCACATGCAACTTGGTTTTACAGAAAAAAAAACTAAACAAAAAAAAACATTAATTTGAACAAATTTACTGTCGATACAGACTTTGCATCTGACATTTTTCTAACTGACTCGGAAACTCTGGGTGTGTAGAGTTTCCCATTTGTAAATACAGTTTTATGGTGATGTATGTGTGTGTTCAGCTCATGAAAACTTCCTGAAGATCTTGCGCTTGTTCCTGTGCTGTGGTTCAGGTTGAAGCGTCGGCAGGAGGAGGGCTGTATGGCAGCAGACGGAGACGCCGATCCAGACGGAGACGAGGCCGAGGGAGGAACAGAGGACGAGGAGACCGAGGCCTCCAAACTGAGCATGTGCGGCTCGGTCTGCTCGTCTCCGGGAAGCTGCTAGCACCCCCTGCTGTCTCGGAGCTGCTCACCTCGCCTTTAACAGCCCTCGAGATCCCAGCCCTGGCTTCTTTCGTCTCCGCCGCTCCTAGAGTAAATCTGAACTTCTATGCAACGTAACTCTTCAGCATGATGTAAAATAAAGATTTTAGAGGCAATGCTACAATGTAAGACTGTTCGCTTGAGTATGACGAGATCTTCATGTCGAATCCACACACATCAAGCTGCTTGATGAGCAACTGATAATTGACTTAATTGCGTTTGTATGTTTACATATGTGACCTCTTATTGATCATGGAAGCATCTGGTGCCTCTTGAATTCAGGACAGAGTTTCCTGCTTTCATGTGCTGCTAGAAGTCAAACTGCAGGACTAGTTAACAGTATTCGTTATAAAAAAATATGATCTTAAACACTTTTAAAAGCCGCCTAAGTATTAGAAATGAAGCAGATGTTCTTGCTCTGAAAGTATTTCATGCACTGCAAAAACTGTTTACTTAGTATGTTCATCTTGTTTTCCAGTACAAATGTCTGAAGATTCTTAAATCAAGATAAATTTACATGAGAAGCAAAAAGGTATGAAGATATCATCAGACATGAAGTCTTGGCGAGTCGTTGAAACAGATCTCATTTGTTTTGCTTTTCTCCTGAAGAAATGAAAAACACTCGGACTGATCTGTTTACTGTGAGATGAATCGGTTTAATTCTACATGAGGACCATTTCTGCAATGACGTCAGTCTTTCCTTTAAAGACCTCATGAGTTATTTATTTGCTGTGTTGAAGTTGATGCATGACACTGAAGAGCGCATCACCCTTTTACTGTAAATATCCAGTAGTCTTTAGTTTCTATATGAACCATCAATTACTGCTTACAGTTTAGGAGGAGCTTCATTCTTACAGTATTTACAGCACTGATTGAAACACGTCTGAGTTTATTCTGTCAGCATTTACACTACTGCTCAAAAGATTGGAATAATTATAATTTTTAAATTTTTTTTTAAAAACAGTCTCTTCTGTTCGGCAGGGCTGCATTTATTTGATCAAAAATACAGTAAAAATTGTGAAATGTTATTAGAATGTAAAACAGCTGTTTTCTATGTGAGTATCTGTTAAACTGTAATGTATTTCTGTGATGCGCAGCTGAATTTTCAGCATCATTACTCCAGTCTTCAGTGTCACATGATCTTCAGAAATCATTATAATATGCTGATTTGCTGCTCAAGAAACATTTCTGATTATTATCAATGTTGGAAACAGTTGTGCTGCACAATATTTTTGTGGAAACTGTGATACACTACCGTTCATCAAGGATGCATTAAATTGATCAAAATGACAGAAATCTTTTGTCACATTATAGATGTCTTGACTATTTCAAATAAATGCTGTTCTATTTAACTTTTTTTTTAAACTCATGTGACACTGAAGACTGGAGTAATGATGCTGAAAATACAGCTGCGCATCACAGAAATATATTACAGTTTAACAGATTTGCCGAACAGAAGATAATTATTGTTGATCGGTAGTGTAAGGGAGCCACAAACTCATTTTGGCGTGTTTAAGGGCAGAAGTGTTCAGGTCACATCTTCATCACTGTTAGCCAGGATGATGATGATGATGATGATGATATCTCTAGTAGCCTATATTTCTCTCTGTATGTCGCTGCTTTAACTCTTTCTGCCCTGCGCTCACATGTTGCCAAACTCCTTTCTGACTGTTAGACTCTTAAACTCAGTGAAGGTTTGATGAGACGCCGATCCTTCATCTCTGCTGTTTATGAATCTCTATAGGACGCCAGATTAAGATTGATTTACAGCTCTCTGTGTGTCTGTGTGCGCGTTTTTGTGACAAATGAGGACATAAATTTGTATAATGACAAAGGTATGACAGGTATTACAAGGAGAAGAGGTGACTTTTCAGGACATTACCCCATGTCCCCACTTTTCAAAACGCTTATAAATCACCCAGAATGGAGTGTATTGAAAATCTGAAATAGCACAAAGTTTCCTGTGAGGGGATGGTTTA